AGGGAGTGGGGGTGAACCCGGGTACACACGCCAGCCCCCAGCGGAGGGGCCCACCCCACCTCCAGGACAAAGCCCTCGCCCCACTGCCATTCAAGCCCCCCACACTCCAGCTCCAAGCCGCCTTCCCAGCTTTGCTTCCAAACCCCATTTCCTGTCACTCCCTAACAGCGTTTATAACTACACCACAACTGCCCACCCCTGTGTCTTTACTCACAACACAGCATATTCAGATCATGGTGCCTTGCCCAACCACCGCGATAAAATCCTACCCCTCCTTCAAGAACTACTTCACACGCCACTTGTACAGACATGTCCTTGATCCCCTGCTGAGTATCTTCCCTTCATCTGGACTCTGCAGCCTAACTTCACATCCATATCGTCCTCAGACCCGGGCAAGGGCACCCCCGCCGGGATCTCAGCCAGCCCTTCTCCAGCTATGCCCCTCCTCCCGTGAGGCCACGTGGGCCTTGGAGACGGCCCTACACCCACTTCTGGGACCTGCACAAGCCTCTTCCCTGGGCCTGTCCTCCTGCAGGGGGCTTGTCGCCTGGATGCAGGCTCTTCTAACGGTAATCGGGGACCTGGGACCAAGGGGGTGGCCATGGGATCGCCCCTTGCAGGGGTGCGGGTGGAGCTGAGGCACGTAGGTCAGGGGTCTATGTGGTACACAAGGCCCTGTGGGGTTCAGGGTGGAGACTGGGTGAGGAGAAGGGGAAGCAGGCGTGGGGAAGGCTGTCCCTGGGCCACCTCATTCTGACAAGGAATGCTGCGGCGTCTGTCCTGGCCCTCCAGCCTCAGGTTCCTTTGAGAAACTTAGAAGTATGATGCCAGTGGCTGTGGGAAGCTTGCGGCCCTTCGTGGATAGAGGCTGCCTGTCCTGGACTGGGAGAAGTCACCAGAAACCTCACAGCCACTGAACCGTTCACTAGAGGGTGGGGGGTTGGGAGGGGAGAGCAATCAGATAGCAAGCCCCCTACCCCTCCATCCCCACTACCCCAATGAATAGGAAGGCAGAGACAGAGCATTTTTCTCCTCTGGATTTGCACAGCAATGGAGCCAGCGAAAGAGAGAAAAGTCCTTTCTCCCACTTTTCCCACCCGTGCCTGGCAGCTGCCAGGGCCATCAGAATGCACTTTTGGCAGAAAAATGCATTTAATTTTGAACTGATGCTGTCCATGTTATTTAGTTTCAACTGTCACTTTGCATGTGTTTCTCAGTGTTATCATTATGAAAGTACCTCGGTCAAGGAGGAAGATAGGACCAATTTACTTTATGGTGCATGAGCTTGACTTGAAACTTGTTACTACTCAGGGTTATGGCGTGCAGGCCTTCCTGTGTGCTCTTGCCCTGGAACCTGGGAATGCCAGGGCTGGGTCCACAGGCATCCTTCATAGTTCAGACTATGTCCTGTTTACTCGTATCCATGTGTTATGCCCCTGCTAGATTCTGAGCTCCCTGAAAGCCAGACCTTGAAAGGTTTCATGCAGAGTAAGACTTTAATCAATGTTTTTTTTAATGGACGCAGCCGTGCTATCTCAGTGCTAGACTCTACCACACGAGCACAGCACTATTCCACAGACGCAGTGTCCCAAAGTTATTTTAGAAACAACCCAGCAGGGGCAGGCTCTCATGCAGCCACTGAGAACAGGAAGCCAAGGCCAGTGCTGTCTCCAGGGGATCAGCGCTCAGGGCTCCATCTGGACCGGAGAAGCTCGGCACTTAATGGAAGTGTGTCCGTCACACCAACAAAAAAATTGGAGGCAAAGTAAGACTCTTTAAAGGTCCAGAAATAATGATGTCATTTCAATAGTCAAGGAGACAACGAGGGCTGAGGATAACGTCTCCTCGCTCTTATTACGTCTTCAGGGTCCCTGAGGCCACAGTAACCCTTGGGACTAGTCCCCAGAGCAGCGTACCTGGGACGCGGGTGCGGCCGGGGCGGGCGGCTCCGTGACGTGGATGTGCTGCACCTGGATGGCGTGCTGCGTGTAGGTCTGAGGGTCATGGAGCTGGCCGACGTCCACCGTGGACTGCTGAGACTGGTGAGGGGAAGTGGCCTGCAGGGAGGAGAAATCCAGACGCACACGGATCAAGGTGACGGGTCGGCCTTCCCGAGAGAACGTTCAGCTAAAACAAGATCCCAACAGAAGAACAGACGGGACGGCAGATCCCAAAGGGCCCACACCTAGGCCAAGCTGGCAAACGTGTGAGAGGCAGTTTTCAAAACGATGCTTATTAACTGTAAGACAGCGGTGCTATTTAATTCTGGAAGAGAAGGCGACAGAGAGAACATGGCTCCTAGCAAGGAGCTGAATGAGCAGCTCTCAGGAATTAAAAATCTTTTCCCTTTAAATTTCAATTGAAGTTAATGGCATCCCCTTTATTAGTTAAAAGAGATCGAAGAAGAGAATTCAGCTTGTCAACATTAACCACAAGAACAGAACCTTCCTAACCTTTTATGCGGACAGACATCTTTGAAAATCTGGCTAAAGTACAGACGCTTTTTCCAAAAGAATGTACACATATATCACATTTCACAGGCAACTCCAGGGATTCAGATTCCTCCAACGCCCGAAATCAAGAACCCTCCCGTTAAAAACAAACAAAAACACAAGATGAAGAATGATCAATGACAGTGGCAGCTGTCAGCTTCCTGCTTTCGTGTCAGGTTTAAATTTTCAGAGACCAATTCATTTCAAAGGAAAAAGTTTGTTCCTTTGTGCCCTGAGTGCACTTCCTCAGCATAATTAAGTGAAACAATAGCCCTGGGAGGATTTTTTTCTTTTAGCTCCTGAATCAGTAAGAATGAGCTACTAATTACTTTGTAGAAGGAACAGCTCTACTTCTTTGCTCTTAAGGTACTCACTGATACTCAAAATTCACGATTATTCCTTATAACCGCCCACTGATGGATGTCACTCGATGCCCAGGTAGAGGCAGATCAAACAGGCTCTTCACCAAGCAGCCAACCTGGGTGTCCGGGGCAGAGACTCGGGGGAGGCTTGGCACTGTCCTGCCATTGTGCAGGGTGACGGGACAAGCTGGGGCCTAAAACTTCTGGGTTCTGTTGACAGAAATCTCTTACACTGCCAAGTCCAGAGCCCTCGACAGCTGGGGGTTTGCAAATGCCTTAGACTCCAAGCTTACGTGCACATGAGGTAGGGTTCGGGTCCAGCTCGGAAAATTGGGTGCTTTAGTTGACCCCAGCTAGGGACCCCGTATCGGCTGGTGGCAACACGCCATTCACGCAGATAGAGACAAAGACACGCAGGACAGTACCGGGGCCACCTGCACCACTTGCAGCTGGATATGCTGAGGCTGCTGCAGGCCCGACGCGGACTGCGACACCGGAATGTACTGAATTCGCTGGTAGTCCCCTTGTGGTGTCCGGTAATCCGTCGTCAAGGTCTGGGACAGCTCTGTCATGGCCTGGGTGAGCAGGTCTGTTGTCTAGGGAAATCACCAAAAGCACATCAGTTGGTAACACTGCTGCTGGTGGCTATTCCAGTGCCCTCAAATCCTACAAAAATTTGGTCTATCTCACTGGTGGATCATGGGACCACAAATCAGCCCTGAGCTCAGACAGAAAAAAATCCAAAGTTAAGACAAGTTCATACTGTACAGCACAGAGAACTTAGTCAATATCTTGTAGTCACTTATGGTGAAAAAGAATATGAAAAGGAATAGATATATGTTCATGTGTGACTGAAGCATGGTGCTGTACACCAGAAACTGACACAACATTGTAAACTGACTATACTTCAATAAAAATATATATACACAAAAGAAAAAAAAAGGAAATCTGATCACATTTGAAAAAAAAGATGTTGGAAGATTACCTCTAGACCCATATATACCTGTCTGTGTCAGCCCCAGGGAGCTACCCCGGAGCTTCCGACAACCTTGCGGTGAACACGCAGCACTGAAACTTCCTGCTGCTCCTTTTACAGAGAGCTTTGGGAAGCACCGACAAGGAGACCCAATGGTAAGCGTAGTGCCTCGTGTAGAAAACTGAAGGCTGGTGGGCTCCATCTGCAGCCCATGAAATAACAAAGCAGGCACAGCCTTGGCGTGGAGGCTGTGATGGGCAGGGCCGCGGAGGAGACGCTGTCACAGGTCACACGCTTACCACCACTGTCTCTCCAGTAGCGCTGTCTGTGGTTAAGACGGCTGGAGCCGCGCTGATCACAGCCGTGGTCAGCGGGGTGTGGATGGTGTTAGGGAGCTGGGCGTACTCTGGATGCTTCTTTCGAATGTGCTGTACCATTTTGGTCTGAAGAATTGTGGCAAAAACCAAGAAGAAGGACTAGAATTAGTTGTTTTTCAGTCTTTCTCAAATGCAAACCCGCCAATGGTCCTAAAGTCTGTGTTATGCCTTAAAAAAAATCCAAGCGACCCTGGCTCTGCCTGCCCGTCCTGAAGTGAGACAGTGGTATGAAAGGGGAAAAAGAAGAGGCTGAAATCAAAGTGAAGAGTCATGTGACCTCGCAGCATCCCCCGAGCCCACCAATACCTGCAGCACTCGATGGCTAGCGCCCCAGCAAAAATGACCCCCTTTTCAAAAACCATCATTGAGGTTCCTATATGGTCCCTGCTGTAGCCTGAGCTCATACACCAGGAGCAGAGAATATTCAAATAGGAGCACCGCCAGGGGCCAAGGGACAAGGAAACCCATCGAATGCTGGCGCTGTCAGGTGGCCCTACTGCCGGGGAGAGTCCGCCGTGTTCCCTTCCCACTCAGTGCTCTGGTCCCTGTTCTCAGGAAACAGCTCCGTGAGGCCCCGTCAATTCAGAAGCAGCCATCACTGCATCTGGACGAAAAGCTGTCTCCTCTTACGCAATGTTCCCGTCACCGATGCCCTTGCTTCCGACGTGGTCTGAAGCCGTCCCCATACCTTGCTGCTGTACTGTTTGGAGCAGTGAGGGCAGCAGACGGGCGGGGTGGCTATGGTGCCTGTGAGCTGGGTGTGTGTGCTCAGCATGGGGTCTGGTTCTCCGGGGCCCGCAGGGCGAAGCTTCCGAATGCTTGGCGGGAGCTCAGCCCCGGGGTGGTTCTTCAGAATGTGGGCTTTTCGCTTGCTGGCGCTTTTATAAACCTGCAAATTCAAAAGCTTTGCCATGAAAGCAGTACACAGTCCCACTTTCTTGCCTAAAGCAAACTAACACTTTCTTTACAGGGAAATGAGAAAAAGTATGTATGTAGCCCAAAATAAAATGTGTTAGCAGATACATTGAAGGATATGACACAAATTAGAATGAAGTAAGAACATGATACAAACAGGCAAGGCGTCTTCCTTGAACCTACATATGTAAGACAGGAATAGTAAAAGTACCCTTTACCCCAGAGTTTAAGAGGTGGGTATATATACAGTCACAGAAAGAGCTGCTTCTCAGGCCAGTTCTCCCTTTAGCCTTCCCGTGAAGCTCTCGTATGATGTAAGCAGCTGGCCACGAGGTGCCAAAGACTCTTCCAAAACAGCAAGTCTAACAGCAACTAGTACCAACAGTGGTGAATCTGTCCTTAAAAAAAGCTTCTTACTTTTAGGTTGACGCTACATAAACACAGCTTATACCTTATATAGCTGCCATCATATAAGGAAACAATCTTACAATGAAACAATAAGTGGACTTCTATTCCTGTCTTTTCTGTGACTGCACAATAGTCAGGAATGGAATACACCAACAGAGCATTCCACCTCAAAATGGTTCCACGTCCTCCTCACTCTTCTAGAAGCCCAAAATCTACTGTGTAGTTTACAAGCCGGATGATAAACACTCTCACTTTAGAGCCGAGGAACTTGAAAAAAATCCATATACTAAGCTCTTGGCAATAAGCCTCTTCTCTTCTTTTACAGCAAAACTCACAGAGAGAAGGAACCACAAGGAAAACAAAGTCAACTAATTCTTAGGATAGAAACTTTTGGCTTCGAGTGAGGCGACGCTTCAGCCCTTTCTGGTCTGGATGGAAAAACTCTGAGAGACAGGGGACCATCTGCTAAGAGAAACCACGAGATCCTAGGATGTTTATACCCGCAGAAAGCAAGGTGGCCCCGGCAGGGCTCGCACAGAGGCAGGTGTCCTCGGGCGGGCGGTTCCCTTTACCTTGTCACAGTACTGGCAAAAGTAGTCCCGGTTGGGCTTTATGATGGGCAGAGTCAGTTCCGGCACCTCCTCTATCTTCATGTCCGGGTGCCTCTTGGATAAGTGATTTACCTAAAGGGAAAAAAGGCAAATGAGAAAAAGAGACCCCATTACAAGCTGAAGCTGAACAGATACCCGTGATACTGGCGGCTGGAAGCTGAAATTCCTTAAGCAACGCCCCAAAACATAAGGGGTTTGGCCGGAACCAGAACGACCAAGTGCACCTGACGCCAGAGCGCCGACAGGCGTTAACGGTGATTCAGCAGGCTGCTGCAGGCGAGCCGGCCGCTGTGGAGCCACCAACAGCCTTGGACTGAAGGAAGTGCTGGCGGGACAAGGGTACTTACACCAGCAGGAATTTCTTTTGTGAATTCTCCTGATGCAAACTCGCCTTACTGAGGACAGCGAATGACACAAAGTGAGGTTCTGAATTTAAAGCAACGCTCTGTGCCTTCAGCTCCTGGCAGAAACATACTCTGCAGAAACTGTCATCAAGTCAGAACAGACTGCGAGCAGAGGACTGGCTGGCTCTCCAGGTGTCCCCGCTAACCTGGGTCACATGCCCTGCCTGGATGGAAAGCTCCCTTCTCTTGCTGTGTGGTGTCTGGAAAAGAGAGGCACTGACGGGGACCATCGGTGTAGGGGGGCTGAGGGGCTGAGTTCCCACCAGAAAGTATGCCAGGAACACAGACAAAGGCAGGGGAAGAAAGCGCAGAGCAGAGGCTGGGAAGGGGGAAGCAAAGCAGAACGAGGACTGAAAAGTGATCACAAAAGACCTCTTCCAAGAGGCACTGGAAGTGAACTGGGGCAAAGGGGGACAAGGGGAGACTGGGACAGAGGAGCCCCACGCAGGGAACCGCCCGCCTCCGCTTCGTCCCCGGCCACCAGTGAAGCCCGGTGGCAGGTGTGGTGGCCAGTGCTGTGCTGAACACGGCCCGGCAGAGGCGGCGGGCCTGGAGGCGCGGGGCACTGACCAGCATGCCGCGTCTGCGGAAGCCCATCATGCACAGACGGCACTTGAACGTGAAGCTGTCGTAGTCGGTGGAGGTGATGCGAGGCTTGAACGTCTTGGAGCGGCTGATGCGGTCGGCTTTCTTGGCCTCCCTCTCTGGGTTGTGCATCCTTTGCATGTGCTCGCGTAGTTTGTCTTTTCGCTATTTGGAGTTTTTGAGAAGGCAGAGGGGTGGGGAGGTGGGGGTAGAAACATTTTTAATTGAAGGGGTTAAAAAAATCCATACAAGTGAATAATAACACAACCCACCAGGAGGCGGGGAAGCTGCTGGAGGGCTGAACACAAGGACGCGGCCACAGTGGCCGGGAATTGCCCTGTGCGCTAGCAGATGAGCGCATCCCCGCGGGCCTTGGTTTAAAAGGACCTTTCGGTTTGAAGGCTACATGTGGATTTCTGAGAAGACTTTGCATTTATATAGAAGAGATTTCAGGGCACAAGGAGTAAGTCTGGTATTAAGAACCGTAAGACAAGTTGATAATGAATGGCAGGTAAGACTGGATTTACAGAGCCGTGTGTATACTCAGTCCCCACACATTTTAACACACATCATGACATTCCTCTAAATCCCAAATGAATTCGAGGAAGTCTCTCTCATCATACGGATTTAGAAGTTCAGGCGAGCTGTCACACTGCCGGCTCTGGGTAGGGTACACGGTCTGGGTCACAGCTCTCACTCTGATGATCTAATCTAGGGCGCACATTGATGTGACTCCACAGGGAGAAAAACGAGGCAGAGCCCATCACGAATAAAAACAAATTCCAAAAATGCCAGCTCCCTCATCCAGTGAGGCTCTGCTCTTGGACATATCATTAAACTGTTACTGGTCATATAAAGATTTTGAACCTTTCCACCAGACCAGTTCTTTCCACATTTTGGTATGGGGACTTTCCTGTAACCACTTCCCTGCTCAACACATTTATTTAACAACATTTCCTGAACACCCACCAGGCATTGAGAACCATGCTAAGTTCAGAGGGGCAATGCTTGGCTCCCCACCTGCTCTCTCTTCTGCTACAGTGGATGTGACCCAACTGCTCTTTCTTCCTGCCCCACCCACCCTCATCCCTGGAACTTCACAGTTCCTCACGTGCAATAAAATTTGGATTAAAAACATGGCCCTATGCTCACTTCAGCAGCACACATACTAAAATTGGAATGATACAGAGAAGATTAGCATGGCCCCAGCAAAAAGATGACATGCACATTTGTGAAGCATTCCATATATTTTTTTTCACAATAGCCAAGACGTGGAACCAACCTAAATGTCCATCAACAGATGACTGGATAAACAAGTTATGGTATAGTCATACAATGGAATACTACTCAGTCATAGAAAAGAACAAAATAATGCCATTTGCAGCAACATGGGTGGACCTAGATATTAACATATTGAGTGAAGTAAGTCAGAGAAAGACAAATATCATATAATACCACTTAGATGTGGAATCTAAAATATGACACAAGTGAACTTATTTATAAAACAGAGACAGAATCACAGATATAGAGAAAAACTTATGGTTACCAAAGAGGAAAGGGGATGGAGGGATAAATTAGGAGGCTGGGATTAGCAGATACAAACTACCGTATATAAATTAGAAAAATAACAAGGTCCTACTGTACAGCACAGGGAACTATATTCAATACCTTGTAATAACCTCTAATGGAAAAGAATGAGAAAAAATATATATGTGTATAACTGAATCCCTTTGCTGTATGCCAGAAAATAACAACATTGTAAATCAACTATACTTCAATTAAAAACAAAAGACATAAAACACCGTGATAAATAACAGCATTTCTCCTTAGTCCAGATACAGCAATAAAGCTCACTGCCACCTCAGACTTCCACTCCATTTCCACTTTTTCCTACGCATCGGTCTTCACTGATTTACCCCCCACCCCATTCTCCTTAAACAGACGGATCTATTTTAAATGAATCACTACTTGAATCCCGAAGCCTAATACAAATCCTGCACTGTGCTACGCACGCAGTCTGCTGAACGCCAGCTCTCCAGAAGGCCCTCCAACCCTGCCCGCTCCGAAACCAAATTCGCCTCCCCCTCCCCTCCTGCCGCAGGCCTGCGCCTGCATCCGCAGTCCTGCCCACCTACGAGTCTCCGTTCCTGGCAGTCCACCCTCCACTCTTTCATCCGGACACACGGTCCCAACGGCTCTCCCTCAGCACCTGTCTGGGATTCGGGCCCTTCCCCACGCCCACTGCCTGAGCCTCGGTCAGGCCGCTCCAGGATGCCCACGGGTTCACAGCACCAGAAGTCTAATCACTCAGCGGCAGAAGCTGGCTAAACCTGCTTCTGTGGCCTCGTCTCGCCACGGGCCTCTTGCCCGCCCTCCATCCACCCCACCTCTCACCCTCTCTGTCTGCCTCAATGCCCCTCCCTCGGCCCGCATCCTGGCCCTGTGTCTAGCGGGCTAACTGCCCCAGCCTGTGGTGCATTCAAAAGCATCGCCTTACCCATGAAGTTTCCCCTTCACCCCAAATCAAAGGTAATCCTTTCATGACATTTTCTCCTTTTCTCTATGGCAATAGCAATAACTTTTTAATGCACGGGTCTCGCTTTCCCATAAAGCTGTGAGCTTCTGAACTTCAGGGTGTCTTTACATGCACTGCCCGTGTGGGGCTCCCTTAGCAGGACAGCTACGATGCGGCAGGACCAGTGCTGTGACGGGGTCACGGGTAACAGGCCAGGTGGGAACCACAGGAGAAGCACTTAATCCAGTGTGAGTTGGTGGGGGGGTGGACAAGAAATGCCCCACACAAAGTGACATCAGCCAGGTAGGATGACAAAAAAGGGCATGAAAGTTCATTTCAACAGGGGGTGGGAAGGAGAGCAAATGCGCCCAGGACAGAAGGCAGGCCGGGCAGTAGGGCGCTCAGGACGGTACAGGACAGCCCAAGCCCAAAGCGGAGGGCACCGCAGCGTTACTCATGCCGGCTCTTGCCGTGTCTTTCAGAGATAAGCACCGTGGAGCCCATCTATGCAAAGGGCTGTTGAAAGGTCTTTCACGAGGGACACGACACCAGGTTTGTTCTCTGAAGAATCACTCTGGTTATCGTCTGAAAATGGACTGAAGGTTTGCGGTGATTTGGTACCTTGTCCGCTTGGCTCAGGGAACCACCCTGACACGGGTCCCCTTCCCAGCGTGGTCCCAGCTTGGACTCAGCCGGGAGGTGGGTCAGATGCAGAGGTGCAGGACACCCCTCCACCCTTGCTTGCCCTCTTCCTGACGGCCAGCCCTTGGCCAGCTCCACGTCCACCACCACATGCAGCAACACAGCAGCTCGCTGTCAAGGGCCCCCTACACAGGGAGGTGCCTGCGTTCCCAGACCCCGGGTCAGTCCCATTTGTCCACACTGACCAGGGCTTCACAAGGGAGACCTTTCTCTGATCCTCCAACTTGTCCCCTCAGACCCTTCTCCATCTTCTCCTGTCACTAAGTTTCTGTAAGAAATCCTACATTTCCTGTGAGAAATCCCTCACTCCACAATACTCCTGGTGGGTTTGCTTCCCTGATTGAATCCTGGCTAATGTATTGGGAGAATGTAAAGGAGAAAATGAAAGCAGAAAGATTTTTTATGTGCCTTGTAGCTAAAATGATATCTGGCACAGAACAGATAATCAAAAAGTGCTGAATGAACAGGATAAATGGCCAGCCAGCATCACAAGACAGGGATGCTTTCCGACACACTGCTGCTGTTGCTGCTTTTAATTAAGAAACAGGAAAAAAAAAGTAGCTCCATTTATACTTTTCACACTGGAGTTCTCTACAGAGATCTAAATCACGCTACTATGTGCAAGTCATGGAGATGGAGATTATATTCCACAACGCACACACTGCAAAACTGAAGACTTGACAATTACTTTCTATTTCTTTTAATGTCTCCACATTCTATACAAATGCATCCTTTTAAAATTAGTTCTCCCCCATGAACCCACTTCTGCCCCTTTGCCAGTTTCTGTGACAGCCTGACCTGCCCTCACGTTCTGGAGTGTCTCTCGGTGACATCTCTGCAGGATCAGCTGGTTTCCCAGTGAAGTGAATTTTACCATTCTCACATTTATTTGTTTACCTCTGATTCCTGAGTCTCCCGTGGGTTTTTCCTTTGCTTCCTTCTAAATTCCAGGCATGTTACTGGTATTTATTACTTGTTATCTTAATCCTGGAAGTCATTAACATTCCCCAGAGTAGTCTAACCCCTCTCAACATTCCACTGCTGAATGGCAGTCCTGACGCCCCACGGCTCCATTTATCAGGCTCTTGTATTTAATAAGTGCTCAATAAAAATCTCTTGATCTGGTAGGTAAACGTACTGTCCTCTTAGGAATTCCTCGATAGCGATGTAGTTCTATTCATTATACACTTGGACTCTTGTAGGAGATGCATTACTACTCTGGGGATGTGAAGTCATTATTTTGGGAAATTAAAGTGAGCTTTCCCCTTAATTTTATTATCATAACTAAATCAACCATGAGGCACAAACTTCAAGTCCAGTCGGCTCTTGGAGTGGCGGTAACAGGTGACCTGAGCAGGCGTTCACCCTCAGAGCGACAATTCCAGGGGCCCCAGAGCACCCAGCCTGCTTGCTGGTTACGTACCTTGAACTGCTTCCCGCACGTGGAACACAAGAAATCCTTGCGGTCCGAGTGCCGGAGCATGTGCAGCCGCAGCTTGTCAGGACGGCAGAAAGCCTTGTCGCACTCGGTGCACTGGTAGATCTTCTCCGAGTGGAAGCTTCGCACGTGTTTCTTCACCTGGCAGTGAAGGCGCGGCGTCAGGGCGCGGGCACCACCAACAGACGGCAGCCCCTGGACGCTAGAGGGCGCCAGACGCACGGCCGTGCACCCCGCTCACCTGGCCTGCGGACCCATCGGGGGCCAGGGCAACACCACCCCCTCACGTCGCGGAGAAACAGGCGAGGGACCACAAAGCCTTAGAAACCCCGACCCCGCCGGCCTTGAAGAGGAGGGAGAACGTGCTTGCCTGGCCCAGGCCCTGATCACATGGGACTCATTTCTCTTTTTTAAGATTAAAAGCAACAGTTCCTTTGGATTTAAATGGATCGTGGTAAAAATTATCAGAAGACAAAAAAAAAAATCCTTTCTCACTTTTTCCTGCCTCCAACATGTATAGAAGCAATTTAGCCCCCTGAAGTAACTGGTCCTTTTACATCACTCTATAAAATCAGGTTCTGAAGAACTAAAGACATGAATTAGACGATATAAAATACATTACCTACTTATGAGAACAATACAACACCAGCGTCATTTCCCCTTAATTGGGATTTATCTCCTGTTTCAGACAACTTAAACAAAGGGATACAGCCTCTGAGCTCTCTTAGCCATAAACATCCAGTGAAGAAGAGATGGGCGCTAAGCAGTGAGTCACATCCAACCCTTCCTGTAAGACATTTTCCTTCATCATTTTTGGAGTCTCTTTTGCCGTTAAGTTCTGCCTTAGAGCAACTTTTCTAATTGTTTGTGTGAAGTGAGAAAATCACCAAGGCTCCCAACACTAGCAGAACTACGATTAAACCCTCGTCTCCTTTTCCTTTGGTAATTAAAAAAGAGAATATTTTTACTAGATATTTAGATTTCATCATTCATTCACTAGCATATAATAATATCACTCGAAATCCCAATGAAGTCATGAACATTCTAGAATGTATCCTCATTCATTTTGCTGCAGAATATAATACAGGGGAAGAGGTCAGTGCTTAACACAAAAGCGTAACATGCGCCAGCTTTCTGTCTCTCCCTTCAAAATGCATCACCTTAGTGGCACAAGACAGCAAACCGCAGCAGCAGGAGACAATGTTTCCAGGCCAGGAGATGGGAGGATGTCTTCTCCAGGCTCCATACATTTTGTGAGTCGTGGGTAGTGGCAAGCACTAAGAAAGACTTCTTTAAAAATTATAACCAGATCTGGGTGTTGCTCACCGGTAATACAACTTGAATGTTTAAATGCTAATGTCTTATCTGGACAGTTAATCATAATAACTTTTGTTTATCATAAGTAGTTTGAGTGAAGACATATCATTCTCAATTATAAAGTCGCTTCAAAGAAGGGATGAAAATGCAGATAGGCAGTCTCAACTTTCCAAAAGTCGAAACTTCTTCCACCAAAAAAAAAAGAAAGAAAGAAAGGATACAGTCACCTGAGTAGGAGACACTCACCTGGATAAAATCTGGGAACCGTTTCTTGCAAGTGGGGCAGGTGAAGTAGCCATCGCTGATGTGAATGGCCACGTGATCTTTCAACAAATCAAGGCGGTCAAAGGATTCTGGGCAAAAAATGCAAGAGTAAGTCTTCTGGTCCGAGTGGAGCTTCATGTGGCTCTCCAGGGACGCGCTGCTGATGAAGCCCTTGTTACAGAGGTCACAGGTCAACGGGCAGTTCCCTTCCCGCCCGTGGAAGCGCAAGTGCTGGTCCAGTTTGTCCTTTTCGCGGAAGGCCTTCCCACACTGCAAACATTTAAAAGGCCGGAAGGACTTCCGGATAAACAGGTGCTGGAGAGCTGCATTCTGAAAGACACACACAAATGAGACTACTCAGTGAGTAAACGGAGCGTGCAGGCAGCTCGCGCATCGACGGGGAAAGAGGGTGCTCTGTGCCATCACAGACTTTCCATAGACATTGAACTTCAGGACACAGCTGAAAGAAGATTTTTCTGGTGAAGACATTAAAAATGAAGCCATCCCCAAAGAAGTTCATCTGGAAAAGACAAATGTTTGTGTTCTGCTTTATGTCTATGTATGTCTATTTTATTTTGAAAGGATCTAGGTAATGTTCAATAAAGTATTCCCAACAGAGGACTTACATAATAAAAAAAAATCTCAGAGTGAAATATAGGATAAAAATCAAAGATTGGGAAGAAATGACTTGGGATAAATCACGCATGCATGATGAGGTTGGAGTGAGTCAGCCAAATGTTACTTGCCGAAGTCCTCAAGAAGAGGGACTTGAAGCTTGATTAAAACATTTAGCAAAAATAAAGATAACAGAAAGAACTGAAGCGTAGCACTTGCCAGGGGCTGGGGGAAGGAGGCAGTGGATGTGCGGCTTCGTTGGAGGGTGATGAGAATGTTCTGGAACTAGGTACAGGTGATGGTTGTAACACTTTGGGAGTATTCTAAAAACCACTGTGAAAGAGTGAATTCTATGGTATGTGAGTTGTGTCTCAATCTGTGAAAAAGAACTGAAAGAGAACAAAGGATACGGATTTAGGCGAACATGTTTGCGGCTGAGACAAGATATAAAAGCACACGTTGTCGGTGGAATAGGAGCACTGATCACTCCCTACTCAGGAAAGCAGAGGACAGGTTCTCAGCGAAGGCAGTCAGTTCCATTGGTTAGAATGCCATGCTGACACGGTTAAGCTTCTCTCTTTGTTTCCTGTCTAGACCCATCAATTTTGCTCTCTTTCTTCTTTTTTTTTTTTTTTCAGTCACAGATTGCACTTCTGATGGTGATCAGCCACCTTGTAAATTCATGCAATTGTTACAGGGAACTCAAGTGAGAGCGTATGGATACTCAGCACAAATTCATCACTACTGCTGGGAAGGCAACTCATGCTCCACTGAGAGCAAATCAACAGAATCATCTTTCACACAGAGAATCATAATCAGTATTTCAGCTCTACTATAATGAAGATGCATTCATAAATTCCTCAAAACATCCAGGGGAAAGCTCTAGAAAGCTATGAGGGGAAAAAAAAAATCCCATCTGTGAGTGGGTCTGCTTAGGGAACTGCAAGAGAACAGCAATTAAAGGACTAATGCAGATTTTAGTGCATTATTTGTGCAATGAAAAAAGCACAATGAACAATGCTTAAACCCTTAATTTCAAATTACTTACGAGCAGCAATTTCTGAACTAAATTTAATATGAAATAATCATTTCAGAGAAAAGCAAAAATAATTATTTTTGATTTAGTGAAAATTCTAAACAGTCACTGTATAACAGAAAACATCTTTCTCGCAGCTTCTCTAACAGGGCTGGGGAAGATCTTTTACCTACTCATTCATTCTGAGTAGATAAATTTAACAATTCTGTTGTCTTTCCAAGTTGACTGAGGTTGCAACATATTTTCTTCTCTTTTGTATCTAGATCTCTTAAAAAATAGCTCAATTAGCTCAGAGGAAGTGGTCAATAAAAGTTTGCAAATTAATGAAATGCATTTCATATGAAAATCAAAAAGAATTAGTTCAAGATCTTTTCTGTAGCATCGGAAGAGATCGTACAGAACGGAACTTTTTTCAGATCAGCCACAGAGCTTTCTTTCACTTCATCATACTGCTTGGCAGTCCCCTGATCTTTTCACTCTATCCGGACAGATACTCATTTTACATAAAAGCTCTCACTATCCTGGCTACAAATATCTGCAAATGGACAAACACTACCATGAGGCTCCGAGACTCAGGACTGAGAGTTCTTGGGGGTGTAAACACCATTTCCTTTACCCAAGTTCAGTGACGTTTCCACGGGCAGACACAACGCTCACACTGATCCGGGACCCGCTTCCCCTCGGGTGGCAAACCTGGAACTCGGTTTTGTTTTGCTCCATGATGCTAATAAGTCTTCTGTCAGCTCTGATTGGGGTGAGTGTCCTCAGACACTTGATCAAGCCCAGCAGCCACCGGGCTCCACTTTCCCAGCTCTACAGACAAACCGTGTTCTTATCTCTCTTTGATTTTCTCAGAGCCCCGAACACTGGGTATCAAGAGCTAGATGGTGTTTCTCTGATCTAGTGGTCCTCACGTAATCCTCTTGGGACAAGGTGGTGGGCCCGCTGAAACTGTCCCCACGCCTGACCTGCCTGCGGGCCATCTCTGCGCTCCAGTATCTTCTGCAGTTCAGAGCAGCAGTCGGTACACATTTTCTAGCAGAAATCACGAGGAAGGGAGGAAGCAGCACAGACAGGCCCCGGGGATGCAGTCGGCCAGCCACTCGGCCCTAGATGGCACACATGCTACCCTGAAGCTGCTCAAGTGGTAGAGCTCCTAAAACCTGTGGCAAGGGGTTCGACTCAAACTGAAATGAATTCTGACACAACAGATTCTCTGCAGACAGAAACCACAATATGTTTCACAAGTTTGATATTAATAGCTCAAGGCACCTAAATTACTGACCAATCTTCATATTATTTGAACCCTGACGCTAAAAGGAAATCAATCATGTCCGTTGTTGGCCTTTTTTCCTTTTGAACTTTTCTGTGGACTGTTTTGTTTTCAAAACCTTTTTTGGCATACCCTGCACAATATATCTCGCTCTCCACTGTCCTCCAGTCGGCGCCCGTGCTGGGGTCACGCTCACGTGTGCCCTGTCCCATGGCCGCACCAAGCACAGTCCCGTGTCTCGGCCCTCTGCGCGGTGGCGGCCTTCCTCTCAGACAGTCTCCCTTCCTCCTGCCTCTCTTTCAAGGACCAGCTGAAGTCTCACTTCATCTGTGAACTAGTCCCTGACTTCCTCTTTCTTTGGCCTTTTACTCTTCCAACTTCCTGGAGCAGCTACAGGCTATCCCTTTAAATTTAGCACTTCACTGGGACCCACCTTACCCGAACATCGTCTCCCTAATTAGACGGTAAGATCCCGGAGGACAGGACGCAGGTGAAAACTCTATCGTGTACCAGGCGCAGCGCTGAATGTACGGCTAGAGCTCAGTGCCACTGCAGAGGTCACTCAGCTGTTTCGGAGCCAGAAGGGACCTTGGACATCACTTAGTCCTGCCCCTTGTTCTGTGCATGAGCACAGAGTATACTGACTGACTGTTGGAAAATAAATGATCACTATGCATTAACTAATTTGCATTGACTGTAGCAACCAAATTGTCGTTTCTACCAGGACTTAGTAAGTACAGGTTGCAAAGAACAGCAGGTCAGGCAAACACTTAAATAACATTTTGTTATGTGAGTGAAACACAGGAAACAAACGTACCTGCAGCTCCAACTGAGCAGGCAGCATTAGAGGAGAGAAAAATAGTTACATTACCAATGGGGTTGGAAGGCTTCCCTTCAGTTGGTCATTACCAATCTGGATAGAAAAGATGAAAAAATACATAGCCCTGCTTTTTAGAATGTGTGAGAGGAAAAAAAAAATAGCTCAGCTATGACTGACCTCCAACAGCCACCTGCACAGGGCTCTCGCTCGGACACAAGGAATCTCATAGCAAAACCAGTCACCCAGCTCATTCCAGAGCACAAGTACGAGCACAGCCGTGCTGCGTCTGCACCCACTCACCTCACTGGACATGTGGGCTCTAGTTTCTTCCTTCAGAAAAATTAAATCTAGGAAGCATTTCTCTGGACTTAGTGAAAAATCCAAGTGGCCAAAGCAGAAAAGACAGTCACTGAGCAAGAGAGTGGAATGCAAGATCGGGGAATCATGTAGCATGATGGACGGAAGGTACGCGTAGCTTTCTGCCTTTCTGGTCTGTATTTATGTATGTTTACTCATCCTTCTGAAACAGTATTCATGGAGCCACCAGTTTTATAAGTTTCCATAAGCGGAACCTTCATGAAGCCTATTTAGCCTCAGAGTCCGTCTAAGCTGTCACATGGTCCAAATATTTAAATGTATTTTTACAGGAAGGCACGAGCTAGACTATTTTTCAAGGTCCCTTCTAGCCTACAGGCAAATAAGACCAAAAGAAACATAAGCTAAAATGATCATCCATTTAGAAACTATAACACCTGGGAAGCTGTACAAACAGTCTCTTCACCCGCACATAAGGAACTAAGGAGAGAAGTCTTTGAACACCCTGCTGCCGTGACCTCGGGTTTAAGTAACGTTTCTAGATATAAGCTGTCAGCACCAGCACTTTTCCCACAAAACCACGCTGCTCTCCACGTGCGTCCCCGGCGGGCCAGGAGCTACCCCAGCGCCATCTGTGACACGGGGATGAAACACTCAAGCCGGCAGCCACGGGGCCCTGCAGCTGCGAGGCCCAAAGTCAAGACGCAGGTCAGGCAGGTGAGCCACTGCCCGCCCTGCGAACCTGGCGCTTAGCTCCACTCTCCCTGGTGTGCAGGCTGCACTTGGCACATCAACTCGGACACTGGTCCCTCTGCTCCGATGAGGAAAGGCATCTGCCAGTCTCCCCTTGGAAACCGTCGATAACCAAATTCAAAACCCAGAAATAACTTGAGGGCTCTGATGAGGCACAGGTTAGCCTGGTTTACATGTAAATAACTGTTATAACTCAATGTACTCATCTCTCCACTTCCAATCTGTAAATTGAGGGATCCGGAGGGCTGTCCACTCTAACTACACTGGTCCAGAAGTGGCCAGGAGCCCGGCTTCTGTGTCATTACTAAACAGACCAAACCTAGGACCCGCCATGGGACACAAAGACCCCCAAGAAATGTTCACACTTTCTTCCAAAGTTAAGGGGCTTGAGCGTGTGCTAGGCTAGATGTGTGATGTGGAAGCAGAGGGTGGGCAGCAGGGCACCGACGGGCTGGCCACCTGCAGCAGGGGCAGAACCCGCTCGGGGCCGGGGGGGCCGCGCTCCCCACTTACTCGGATGCGCTTGGCCCTGCGCATGTCGTCGGCCGTCAGCGTGCTCTGGGCGGGCAGCACGCTCTCCTCGTGCTGGGGCTGCAGCTGCAGGCTGTGCGTTTCCGGCTCGGGCTCCAGGGAGGCCTGGGGGTCCTGTGGCAGGGGCGGGATGGGGAGGGCGGGCGGCTCCGGCTGATCCAGCCCGTTCAGGGTCGCCGGCTCAGCCTCGTCAAGCTGCTCCTTGGTGGGAAAATGGAGCAAGTCCTGAAAGTTCAACAACCTGGAGTCGCGTCCCTGCCAGACAGAGGTGCGCGCTAGGCTCTAGGCCCGCTGCGCGTGTGCTCAGTGGCTGGGGCCGTCACGCTCAGTAAAAACATCCTCCTCCTGAGGAAGTCAAACCACCAACCACCCACAGGGCGTAAAAACTGTGACACAGTCCAGATCGCTTTGTGAGGATATGACTGACAGGACTCTTCTGGAATAGCATGATTTTAATTGTTTAAACTAATTAAACGAAGTCTCCCAAAACTATCTCTGGACAGTTTCAAATCTTTTTTTTTTGTATTAATTTTCTTGGGGAGGTGGGGCAAATAAAGTCAGAATGCAGATATTAATAATAATGTCAGGCAAATGGAAGTTCAAACCAAAAACAATAATACAAGTAGAAAAAATATATAAATATATTATACCCATAATAATGTCAAAATGTATAATGAAAACATAATGATAATAAACCTCAATGCACATAAGCTGTGAAACAAACACATAAATCAAAAATAATTAGAAATTTAAGGATTTTCAAATCTTTAGGGCAGCAGAGTTGGGTGTTTGCTCTAAGTAACATTTAAAAATACATTCTTTTTTGTCCTCTAGTCAGATTTAATTACAAGGCAGCAAAGCACTCGCAAGATGGGCTATCAATCCCTAAAGGTATCTGTATTTAAACCCTGTCTCCTGGAAGCCAGCATCCAGAGTAGCGCCTTCCTTCCCATCCCCCGTTACCTGGGCCCCATCATCACACTTCTCCCCGTTTTCACTGGTTATTTCCAAGCGGATAAATTTTGGAGGGCGCCCTGGCCGTCGACCTGGGCCAAACCGCCTCTTTCCTCGTCCTCTTCCTCTGCCTCTCGTTCTGGGGACAAGAGATTGGGTTAGAAACAGTCACGGTTACATAATACTCTATAACAAATATTTCCAGAAATGACCCTCACTGACACCGAATCTTGATTTCCTCTCACTTTATTTCTCTTCCTGGTTCTGTTTTGCCAATGTATGTTTTCTAAATTTCTCATCTTTGCCGTCTGTATAGCTCAAAAAGATGTCTTAAATTATTCAGGAAAAAAAAAGGAGCTTTAAGAATTCAGAGTACTTGACACTATTTTGAAAATTCTTGACACTACTGAAAATTCTGAAGGCTCGAACGCATCTCTGAAATTCTGTGAGCAATGCAGACAGGACAGAACACGCTGAGCCTGGTGTATCCCAGAGACAAGATTCCAGTCTTCCAATTCCTTCTTTCCCCTTGCTCACTTCAGATCCCTTGCACGGAATGTGGCTGGAGTCAAAGGAACTTTCTTGCTTTACTAGAAGCTCTGGAAGGTCAGAACAAATTCCTAATTCAAAGGTTCCATAGCATGTCTCATAAACAACCAAATAAGTTTTATCCCCTTTAACAGGTGTCTAACATACAAAAACTCCTTAATAAAGGGGATTCAGAGTGTGTTATTAAAACCCCTTTTAGAAGACGCGTGTGTGTGAGATGTGTATAAACTCAATCAGATCTGCGCTTTACTCTTCCGCTCACCCATTTAACAATTATACAAAAGTTATGTATTTTTCCAAGAACTTTTAAAAGATTCTGTATTACAGGGAATTCTGAACCTACACAAATATGGAGAACACTATAACGAGCCCAGCGTACACATTACCCCTCATTTCAGTCCTTATCAACTCACGGGCAGTTTCATTCCATCTATATCTGCACCCACATACCCATTAGACTATCTTGAAGTAAATCCCAGACATCATTTCATCTGTTAATATTCCAGTATGTATCTCTAAAACATAAGGGCATATATATATATATATATATGTACACACAATACCACGATCACACCTAAAAAATAACTGACAGTTGCTCACTATTATTAAATCTAGTCAAGGTTCATGCTTTCCTAATTGCCTCAAGTTTCTTTTAACAGTTGGCTAACAAACATTTTTATCTACTGCGTGTCATGCACTGTGCTAGGTGCTAACGACGGCCAGTTAAATGCAGCAGTTTTTACCCTCGGAAGTTCGGCAGAGGCAGCAGGCATATAAGCCAAACCCACAACATAATATACAAAGTGTTCTAATAGAGCCGTGCCAGAGTTTTAGGGGTGTCCAGGAGGGAGTGACGGGACCCTCATCACGTCCTCCACCCACCCCAGACGCTGGCTCCTGGCTCACACCCCAGACCGCATCATCCCCGGTGCATACAGAACCCCCAGTCCCCCAGCCCCACGCCCTGACACTCTGACGCCGCCTCCAGACTTCCCAGCTCACGCCCCCGACGCTGGACTCAACAATCCTTCCTCCTCTCTCCCATCTCCAATCTGATCCTCCATCACCTATTTGCATCCTGTGCACATCTTCTCTCCCTCCTTCCACTCATAAACTCCAAAGTCACTCACTGCAGTCACTCCTAGCCGCCCCACCGCTGCTTCATCACGCTTGGTGAGCCCACACCCCCATGCCATCCAGCCCCCGGCCACTCTGCACTGGCACCCTCTCAGGGAAAGACACTGGGCAACAGCAGTGCTCGGGACTCGCTTTTGTTTCAGGACCGTGAGCCTCAAGGGAGCTCTTAATGTCACAGGCGATCACTCGGGACTTGCCTGGAACATCTTCCTCCCACATTCCTCAGCACCATTTCACACCGTCTGGTCTCTTTTCAAATCCTGTAAAAGCCAGCAACCCCACATCTGTCCTGTTGGTACCACCCCATCCCAAATCACTCTCATTGTTCATCTGAACTGCTCAAGTAGCTTCCAGCTGGACTCCCTGTCTTCACTTTTGCTCCAAGATAAGCTGTTTGTCCACAGTGACATTTAGAAATACTCAATCGACAGCACAGCAGGATTCGATCAGCACCCTCTGAAGATACAGAACGACGTCCAGATTTCTTGCCTGCCTGACCTAGCTGCTGCCTACCCCGCCTGCCAGGTTCTCCTTCATCTATCTTTCTCACACAGTGGAAATCCACCATGACTTAGTCTGATGAAGGAATCCTACCTCTGAAAAGAGTTTGAAAATCAGAAATGCAGATTATGTCAAAGGGGTACACCGTTTCACAAGTTCCTATTTCAGAATCTCTAGCCAGGGGAGATCTTACCGCGGTGGAAAGATCTCCCATGGCTGGGTACCGGTTATGCCGGAGAAGACGGAGGGACACGGGGAAATGACGGGTGACAAAGGCCCCCCGCAGCCGACCCGGTTACCTGTCCATACACACGCACGCACGCGCGCAGACACGCACATGTACACGCACGCACATGTACACGTGCGCGCGCGCACAGCACGCACACAAA